TTTATTGAAAAGCTGTGGTAGTTTTCACTTGACATCTGATGACCTGAAAATGGTTTGCAAAGGTGGGAGAAAACATCTCTGCACGCAGGTAGAGAAGCTGACTTGCAGAGATGATATTTTGAACTGCACTCCTGCCTTCCTGATCATCTGTTACTGACAAACATTAGTGTTGGACTTGGGTCTGAGCCGAAGTTTTTGAATACCCATTTTCAACTGCAATTTTGCTAGACCACAGCTGCACTTTTTCTGGTCCATTTTAGATAGCCACATCTGTAAATGACACTAGTTTATATTAACGTATTGTCTTACTTGAAACATCTGCTGCAGATTCGGCTTGTTGTTTCCACCAGGTCTCATTCACCTGTTGCAATGCTCATTAGGGAGTTTATTTGCTGCTCTGTCACTTTCTTTTAACAAGCCCCCTCTTTTTTTGTGACTCAATAACAAAAGCTCTTCCTGGAGCTGCAGTAATCTGGTGGAGCTGCAGGAATTAAGGAATAACATTACTGTAAACAAGATTTTTCAGAAACAACCTATGTATTTCAGTATTTTTGAATAAAAGTGAAAAATGCAGTGTGTGTGTGTGTATGACATGGTGTGTGCCTTCAAGCTATAGCCAGTGTTGATATATTTTAAACCTGTACAGCAGCATTTTAAGAAGAGTTTATGCTGCCCCTTTTTTTAAAATGTTACACTTGCCACAGTTTTAATGACAATAATGTAGGATTTTTTTTTTTTTTTAATAGCCTCCTGAGAACTGTCACACTTGCAGAAATGTGCTTCTAAAAGACTGGTCAGGTCCCTTTAAAACAAAGCAAAAGTGAAAGCTAACCGGGCAAGACTTTAAGGTCTTCCAAAAATTAGTGTTGCGTGCAATCTAAGACTCAAAGTATTTGCTTCCCTCTTCCCCCCATCATGCTTTTTCCCCTCTCTGTTAAAGCACTGAAAAACAAATTATGGAGTCGGAGAGGATTTTTATAAGTAGTTATTCAGTTTATTCTGCTGTCCTAAGTTAGGACCAAGTCCACCTTCACAGGTGACTTTGTAGGCTGTTGTAGTGCTTATCTAACCTCGAAAGAACAGGACTGTCTCTGAGAGTGGGCACTAGAACCGAAGGCACAGGCCTCTATCTGAGCATGATCCTGGCAGGCTCTGCACATGTAGTCTGCAGCTGACCCATCTTCAGCCCTGTAGACCCACCAAGTGCCCCAGGATGTATGGCACTGGGCCAGGGAGCTGACATCTTCCTTCTGTCTTGTCTGCACAGCTGTGATTGCATGGTCACTTTGCTTTCCCGGGCTGGTGTGGCCACTCAGTCTCTCCTGGCTGGGCAGTCCACGGGTGGTGTGGTGCAGGGGTATAACCTGCTCCCGTCTTGTGGGGCTTCAGCCTGGGGTTGAAGCTCATCCCTGCAGTGGGCTATGTGACCATGTCTCTGCCTGCCTGCAAGCACTGTGATATGAAAGGCCCAAAGCAGCAGTGCACGTAAGGTGATGTGGTTGAGGAGCCTATCTGCACATGTGTGCACCAAGGAGCACAGAGGCACAACAGTGGGTGGGGAGCCTGGGTGATACGCTGACCTGGCTACTCCCAGGCATGTCACATGAGAGCAGCCAACTCGTGAAGGCTTATCTCCACGCACATGCACACAAAGGGTCACGGATGTGCTGGCAGGCAGGGGACCCCCAGTAATCCACTCAGAGAAATGAGCCCTGGACCTTCCCAGAGCTGTCCAGGGGATCCATTGCCCCATGGGCCAGAGGTGATGCCCATCGGCATGTGTCAGTGGGGGGCTGGCTCCCCTTGCAGGCTGGGGGGGCATGGGATGCAGCAGAAGAGCGTTTGGGGGTTGTGGGATTTTTAGGGGAAAAGCCAAAGGCAGGGATTGAGGCCATTTGGGGAGGACCAAATGTGGGGAAAATAAAAGGCTAAAGGGATAAAACGGGCCTGTCCTACATAAACAGGCCTGTGCTGTAGCCTTGTCTGTCTGTGTCCTGCAATCAGTCGGTGCAGTCTGTCCCATGTCCTTGTTAAACTCCGTTGCTGCTTTCTCAGGGAAGGGACACTGTCCTGCATGCTCCTGTCTGTGTGGAGGTCTAAGCGCTAGTGCCTGGAGCCAGACCGCGGGTCGGAGGGCCTGTGTATCTGTGGTGCCAGCACCCAGCGTGAGTGTGTCATGGCTAGCAAAGATCAAGATGGACTAGCCTGTAAGTAGGTGAAGTAGACTGGGAGCCAGGAATGTGTGTGTCTCTGAGGGTGAGACTACTAAAGGTGCTGGCTGCTGGAGGGGCCGGGGGTCCTGGTCAGTTGCCTGAGAGAGAGTGGGCTCTGTGGTTGAGTGTGAGACCCCAAATTACTCAGGGGTCCATGGCGCATGTGATGGTATATGAAGGAGTCTGTGCAAGAGCGGCTTGTATGTTCAGATGTCAGCAACTGGGGAGACTGGAGCCTGGGGACAGCTGCTGCAAAGATGAAGGTGGATCCACCTTATACACGTGTGTATTTGGATTTCCCGCTAACAGCCTTCATCCTGATCCATCAGGGAGGGGAACAGGATGAGGCCATCGGTGCTGTTTGTGTGAGCATCTGTCTGTGTTGATCAGTGTGGCCGGCCACGTGTGTATTTGGGCATGTGTTGTGTATGCGTGTCGGTGTATGTGCCTGCTGGACATACATGCTCGGCCTTGCTAATTGGTAGACCTGGGGATGCAGAGCTGCAGCATCCTCACTTCAGCTGGGCTGCTGGTATGCCAAGTGCCTCAACGTAGGAGTAACGCCAGGCATTCATAAAGCAGATTTGTGTGTTACGCTGGCTGGTGTTTCCTTACATATTAGTACAAACACAGGTTTTTTGGTGGTTAGATTGTCATGTCGTGCTACCATATTCCTTCTCATCAAAATCACTTTCTCTTGTTACGCACATGTGTCTAACACTTT